TTTCAGAAAAGTAACAGATTTAAAGTTTAATCTGATTAGAAACAAATATTACTTCAAATTAAAAAATATCCCAGAAATGCATTTTTTAAACTATAATTTTGAACGTTCTAAAAAGGATTAAAAATATGATAAAAATACTTTGGTCTTTTCTCTTAATAATAAAAGAGATTTTGTCGATAAAACTTTGCTCAAGTTTGGATCATTTTTTCTGGCTGTAGCTGTTTATTTGAGATGTTGACAGCCTGAATGACAGTTGAAATTTTATCTAAATTTTTTCTATTGTGGATATATCTGTAAAAATATCTGAGGAATATAACGTGAGCGACTTTTTTAAATATAATTTTTAATTGCTCAGTAATCATAAAAATTTAGTAAAAATATTCGCTTTAACTTAATATTTTAATGAATTTTAGATGCTTTAAATTTATTATAGTTATCGCTCTTATTTTCTGATAATGCCGTATCTACAAAAATCGGCACGTTGATGTACAAACACAAAAAATTCAAAAGCTTGTTTTTAAAATATTGAGGGACCTTGAATCTTTTCCATCTACGATTAATAAATATAGTTTTTACTTGATAATAATATCAACTAACCGTCAAAAATGAATACAGAATTTTGAAAGATTTAAAACTTTATAAATTATTCTAATTAAAATAAAAAAAATTACATGAAAACAATTCTTGTAAAAGTTCATCATTCTTTGAAAAATATTTTTCTTATGATAACAGTGACTTTAATATACCTTATACTTAAAAGCAATTAAATGCTTTTCTAATTAAATAATTTTAGGTTTATTACATATTTTACGATTCAGAGCAAATTTTCGGTAAATGGTGTTTTTTTTTTCTTTTTACAAAAAGAACTTGATTTAAGTTCTCCAAAGAGTTCAGCGTTCAACTAATATAGACATTAAGCTTTCAGTCAGTTATGTGCCATGCGTGATACACGATTGCGTAAGATCATGTATCTTTCGATACATCACTAACGAGGCAGATTTTTTTCCGCAGTAGATTGCCATTTCTTTGTACGGCAGACTAGTTGCCATCCAAGGCTATAGAACTCTGTCCTGCTATTTACCCATAGCTGGGTGGAGAAGAGGATTCATGCCATTCCCAAGGGTATTAGTACGTAAATGAATGTAATGGATTCGATTGGAATTCGAACTCGGCTCTTCGATTCCTCGATCGGAAAGCATTGTGCTGTTCGCGTATTTACTATTTGTGAAAGATGTTTTGTGTGCATAGTTTCTTTGTTTCCTATATATAACTAAATCAGATTACCCTGAAAATTCGTTTGGTTGAAACGTAGGTAGGTTGTTCCTGGTTCTTTAGGATTTAGTTTATTTATCACAGCTCTATTTACCGTATTGAGCACTCTACGTTTTGGGTTTTTACCCGCTTGTTTTTTTTTTTTTTTTCTTTGGACTAAAAATTTAAGGCACTGGACGATTTGTTACGCCCTGTTCGGATCTTTATAGTTTTTTTATTTATTTTTTTTTTTTTCCATATTTTTCTCTGGTACCAGTTTGTTTTCATATACTTACAAATTGTGCTATCCGAGGTTTTTTGCCAACCTAGTATTAATTATATATATATATATATATATATATATATATATATATATATATATATATATATATATATATATATATATGTGTGTGTGTGTGTGTGTATGTATTTTCAGTTGCATGGATAGTAGTTTGTAAACCACGGGTTTCACGCTTTTGCGATCATCAAACTGGTTTATTTTTTTTCAAAAGTGGATCTTTTTATGTTTGATTATTTGTATGTGGTGCCTAAACAGATTCACTTTTGAAAAAATAAACCAGTTTGTCTGGTGATTGCAAAAGCGTGACACCCAGGGTTACAAACTACTATCCATGGAACTGAATATGTGAGCTCTATCACGGTATTGAGCACTTTCTACTACGTACCGCGCATTATATATCTGTCTGTTTAGTTCACCCGAAGATGTCTTAATTCATCGATTTGCCACAGACCTAGTGTTCAAAGACTGGGTTCGTGTGTGGCTGAGAAGGCCAACGAAAAAGAGACCTGTTTGAACGATCACCTAAGTTAAGATTTGTCATAGTGAAAATATTTTCACTTGTAAGCCTTAAATGTTTTTTAACCAGTGAACTAGAAGACATAAAAAAGTTGCGAGTGTTTTTATTAAATTTGCTTTCTTTTTAACTTCCTGTCTGATTTCATTTGCAGCTGCGTCGTGCCTTGCCTTGTTTGATGAGAACGAAAAACACTTTACGTCTACGTCAAGTCGACCTTCTTTTATAATCAAGATAATCACACAGACCACTTTTAAAACACAACTTGATAAGGAACTGATCATCGAAACCTTTTCTTTTTAGTAGTTTGAATAGAAAGATCCGATAAGGCGATGTAAGCCCAATGCGCTTAAAAATGATTCTGGGTTCAGTATTCACATTATAGTTTGTACTAAACATGGGTTTTAATTATTTTTTTTTTTGTCCAGCCCTCATTCTTTATCGAAAAAGAAAACACCCCCCAAAAAAAAAAACAAAAAAAAAACAAAAAAAAAAAAACAAAACACAAATAAAACAACAAAAAACAAAAACCAAAAAACAACAAAAAAAACTAAAAAAAAACAAAAACAAAAACAAAAACAACAACAAAAAAAACCCAAAAACAAAAAAAAACACCAAAAAAAAAAAAAAAAAAAAAAAAAAAAAAAAAACAAAAAAAAAAATTCAAAATCAAAATTCACATTTATTTAAAATCCATTTTTAATAAAATCACTCAAACTCTTATTTAGCTATTTCTAAAGAAATCATTTGCGAGTTAAGTGACGGTTAGCAACGCGGAAAATAGAATAGTTATTGTTCAAACCAAGGCTCTTTCATTCGAGTTAATGCTTTGGAGAAGGACAGGAGTCATTTTCTATCCCATATGACATCTATGGACATAATATTAGTAGCCTGTAATCTTGATATGGCAACTATTCTGAAAGGAGGAGGACACTGAATTGAAAATGGCAGTGAAGGCAACCGAATGACACTCCACTATCCTTTCCAAGAACTTTTATGACGATTTACATTTTATGGGTATTAAAGGAAAAAAGGGAAGTTAAGAGCCATGATCCCCAATGCCATGAAATAGTTTAAGTTTGCTTTGAACATGAAATAGATAGGAAAATTACAATGAAAAGAAAAGAAAAAAAAATCGGAAAAAATAACAAAAATTATAACTGAAGATCGAAATAATATTTATATATTATAAATGATTTTTATTATATGAGTAATAGTATTTGGAATAGCTTAAGTTCTCAAAATTCTCTTGATGCATTTCGACTCCGAACTAATTTCGACTCGAACTAATTTCGACTCCGAACTAATTTCGACTCCGAACTAATTTCGACTCCGAACTAATTTCGACTCCGAACTAATTTCGACTCGGAACTAATTTCGACTCGGAACTAATTTCGACTCGGAACTAATTTCGACTCGGAACTAATTTCGACTCGACTCCTGAAATTTCGACTCGAACTAATTTCTTCGACTCGAACTAATTTTCGACTAATTTCGACTCGGAACTAATTTCGACTCGATTTAAAAACCCTAATTCTTAGTTCCGAATTGAAATTAGTTCTGCACCCTCTTTCAAATATATGATTAATGGACGAAAAAATTAAGAGTGAAATGGGAAAAAAATGGATTGACTAACAAATCATAAGCTGTTTTAATGTCTTTAGCCAGACTACCAGATTTAAGTGAATATTACCAAGAGAAACATGTAAGTAGGCGAAAACGGTTTTCTCAGCAATATTTTTTAGTAATAAATGTAGAGCTACATTGGACAAAACCTATGACTTGGCAAGTGCTTTTCCCGGAAATTATTAAATGAGATTCTTAGAAGATAAAAAAGGAGGAAGTTGAGTAACATTAAACTGATACGCCCCTACAGCGTTGCCTGCCGAGGTGTCCAAGATGAATGTTGAAAATTATTACAGGTTCAATGACATGTCGTTTTCAAGTGGTACATATTATAACCGAGAACTTTTAAGCTGCAGCGTATATTCAACCAATGGGACGCCACTTTGCCGTCTGCAAAGCTAACTTGTGTCTCCTTTCCAAAAAGGTTTTTATTGGTCCTGATCTGGTGGCTCAGCTCCTGTCAGTTTCCCACCGTCATAAGGTTGCCTCTCGATGTCTTTTCTATAAATACTTTCATGCTCTTCGCTATGGTACATAGAGTTTTTGAATTTAAGCGCAGCACTAGACTGGCATTGAGATGTCAATTTACAGTTGAGCTGGCTAAATGTAGCCGTAAATTCTATGCTAACAGTTTCTTCTCTCGCACTTATCGCTTGTGAAACTCCCTTCCGGCTACATGCTTTCAAGCCAACTTTAATATTCAAAAATTTAAATGCAATGTCTATCGCTATCTATTGTTCATCTGATTACTCTCGCCTCTTTCTGCTCATCATTAATGTTTCTGTTCCTAATTTTTCCACACCCTGTAACCCATTGTGTTTTAACGGTATTGCCGAATTGCTTGGGGTGATTCCGATTAAGAAAAAAAAAGACACCAAATTAACAAAACGAAGCAGAGTCTTTTTAGATATTTATATAACAGAAGAAAAAATGACGGTCCTTCATTAAGAGATATTTAAATAAGAATAGTAAACAATATTCAAGCACAGAAGATCTCTGGGAAGAAATAAAAATGATTGCATATTGAAAAGACATTAAAATCAACAGGTGAAAAACTAACGACGTTTATTCAATGTCAAAGAGTGCATATAAAAATTTATTCGGGTCTATGGGATATCGCGAATTTATAGTTCTGTGGCTTTGATATTTATTTATAAATGAACATTTACGTTGTAGTTATTTGGAATAATAAAATCCCGCAAAACATGTTATTATCAATATTTTAAACAAGATATAAGAAACTGAAACGCACATATTGCTCTGATGAATAAGTAAAGGCATGGCACCATAAAACAAAAAACACATCACGTTGAAACACCAGTCCTCTTACGATTACCGAAGTTAAGCAACGTCAAACCTGGCAAGTATCTAGATGGGTGTCCGCTTGGGAATACCAAGTGCTGTAAGCTTTAAGATGTGCGGGTGATATAAAGAGCTTACGGCCGTATCACGTTGAAACACCGGTTCTCTTACGATCATCGAAGTTAAGTAACGTCAAGCCTGGTGAGTACCTAGATGGGTGACAGCTTACAGAAGCTGGTATTCCCTAGCTTTGATGTGTGGCTGGTGAAATAGATAACGGCTCGAAATTGATTGGTGAGCTGATAAAACAGCATATCAAACTGTAAGGGTTATTTAGTACCGAAATCTGAATATTTCGTACACTATTTTACTATAAATCTTATTAATTAACTCATAGTTGGTGAAGAAGAAGGAATTCATACCTTTCCCAATGGTATTTGCGCGTAAGTGAATATAGCGAACCTCACTGGAATTGAAACTCGGCTCTCCGATTAGCAATTCCGAGCCATTATGCATTATACCATCCACACATCCAATCTTTGTTGTTTGAGATAATTATGATTTAATGATACAAGTCTTACTAATTAACCCCTGACTGGGAGAGAAGAGGTGGATTCATACCTTTCCCGAGGATATTTGTGCGTAAGTGAATATAACGAACCCAATTGGAATTGGAACTCGGCTCTATGATTAACAATTCCGAGCTGTTATTCATTACACCACCCACACATCCAAGTTTACAGCACCTGGTATTCCTAAGCAGTCACCCCTCTAGGTACTGACCAGGTTCGACGTTGCTTAACTTCAGTGATCGTATGGGAACTGGTGTTTCAATGTGATGTGGGCATAAGCCGTCGTAATTGGAAACCAAAGAGTAATATTCTTGTTTTTTTTTTTTTTTTTTTACAGACAATTTAGCACCTGGCCGTGAAAGGCTGGGGGAAGGCTTTTCTTCGACTCTCCTGATTATGTATAAAGTATTTTTTATATATAACTCATTTTGGAATTCATTTTTTTTGGGGGGTTATTTTATTCTTTCCTTTCGTGGTATTAAGGTATTTGTATATCACTCATTCAAATCCCATAGACTACACTAAAGAGTATGCGACCACAGTTCTCAACATGTTGCTAATGTAGTTTCCGTAGGAAGTAGTTTTTTCACGGGATTGTTTTGGCAGATCCATGCCCAATCCGTTTGGAATTCAGAATTGTCCTTCCCCTAGACTAGTTGCCAATCAAGGCCAAAGAGCTCAGTCTGACTTACTAGTTAATCCATAACTACGGGAAGAATGGAAGGATTCAAATCTTTTCCAAGATATATTTGCGCAAAAATGAATATAACGAATAAGAAATGAATATAACGAATGAGACTTGAATTGGAACCTGGCCCGCCGATTTCTCGTTCCGATCGCTTAGCCATCGCGCCACCTGCATTTTATGAATATATTAATGTCTATAGTGGACTTTTGGAGAGTGGAGAAGATAAACATTTCTTCTCTCTTTCCAAGCATCTCATTAAACTCTTCGTCTAGAATCCTATGCTCACACTCTGCACTTATACCAGCAGTTGCCGAAATTACATTTGTCTGAGCAGAAAATGAAAAATATTTTATTATTCACCGACAAGCTAAGCGCCTTTGCTGAAAAAGGACATGTAGGTTGGTCTGTTGTTAAAAATGAATTTATGCTGGAGAATTATCCTGAAGCAAAAAAAAAAAAAAATGAAAAAGAAATTAAACGTCTTAAATATGTTAGAACTTTTGCCAAGAAATTCCAACGAAAATATTTCACCAAAATTATTCTCTTAATGATGTATAGTGGGCTTGCATAATAAAGCCAAGCGGACATTTGTGGTCTTTAAGTCTCCTGAATGATTTTCAATTCAATTAACGGTTATAAAGATAGACAAAATTAATTGTTATTTGTACTTAAGATGAAGATTAAAACAAAACTTTCATATTTCGAATCAAAAAAAATAAATAAATAAATATTGTGGGTCTCACCCTAATCCTTGCCCTAGAAACACTGGTCTACAGTGAAAAGCCCAAATTCCTCCAAAGAACCTAAATAATTTTGCATTTAACTTTCTTTGGGGGGATTTTCAGTGTCAAAAATATATTCTTACCCAGCAAAAAAAAAAAAAAAAAAAAAAAGAAAAAAAGAAGAAAAGAGATAGAGGTCTAAATAATGATTTTCTCATAAATATAAAAAAAAAAACTTATGTCGAAAAGTTCTTAGTGTCGGAAATGGGTAATGATCAATTTAATATATGTCTATCTCTCTAAGATAAGGTATTATGGTTTACATTATTTGAACTGTTATCCTCATCTTCATTGCCATATTCACAACGTTTCGGCCGATGTACGCTCCGGCTTTCTTCAGGTGATTGGAATTTCGAACCGAACCTTTTATTTAATCCACCGGAGTAGATTGTTCTATACCCAAAGAGATGCGAGTTCAATACAAGGCTACAGTAGTGGTGAAAAAAATAGCTTGGAGAGTTGAATCAAAGGGAAATAACTGAGACATCCGGAAGGCACGAGTTTTGATTAACTTCAAACAATCATGACTTGAAAAATACTTAGAACAAACTTAAACCATTTCTGGAATCTTCAGACAGTCTACTTACAGACAAGATATAGCGTATATCATTTGGGAACGGTTATAAAGATAAAAAAATAGACAAAAATGTCCGCTTGCAAGCTCACTGTGTGATATACAGATCGATTTTACATTTTTCTTTTCTATCTTATTTGAAGTGATAAAACTCTTAATAATAATTTAGTAAATATTGCCTTAAGTTCAAAGACGAAGTGTTTTCCTGCTTCCATGAATTAATATCCCAATCTTCTTGAAAAGCATGTTTCGTTATTCCTTTGTGCTTTCGAATTTATAACGTAAAAATGATATTAGAAACAAAAAGTGGACCTGGACTACAGTGTGATATCAACACTTGTCTATTACAGTGAAATTGACAATTTCATCCCAAATGAATAATAATGAAGAAATGAAGATGTTCCCCCAATGGATGTAGAAGAAACCAAGATGAGGAAGTTCTAAGGAAAATAGAAACTAAAATGAAACTATTGTTAGCAACCAAAGACAGAAAGCTGAAATTCTGGAGAAACAATGAAGAAAATTAACACTTACAGTGTACATTGAAGGCCAAAGAAATAAAGTAACGACTGACGACATGTTTGTGCAAATGGATGGAGGAACGAGTACCACAAAGACAAAGGAGCAAGCATTGCTTAAAGCAACAAAACCAGGAAGCTGTGGAGGACAGTCTTTAAAGAGAAAGAGAAAAATATAACCTACTTGACAAGTTTGTGCAAATGGATGGTGGAGCAAATACACTAAATACAAAGAGGGTTCGTAAAAGAGCGAGTATTTCTGAACAAATCACGGATCCGAAGGTCAAAGTTAGTTTTTTTTTCTTTTTTCGTTTGAGTATAAGAACGAATGTTTCCGCTGATGTGCTCTGCTTAATGAGGAAGGCCAGAAAACACATTGGATGATTGGTCAGGATAAAAACAACAAAGACGAGGACATTAGAATGAATATTTCGCAGAATAAATCTTTCGAAAACACAAAGGTCAAAGTTTTTTCATCCGGTTGTTTCTTTTTAATGTACATTAGGCCCGAAAGGTCATTTCTGGTTGAGAGAGGGAGAGGGAGGAAAAAGAGGGAGAGGGAGGAAAAAGAGGGAGAGGGAGGAAAAAGAGGGAGAGGGAGGAAAAAGAGGAATCGAGTTTTGCTCTGACTGGAGCTTCTAAAATTGAATTCAAGAATCGGTCCAGACATTGTTTATATTTTATGACCATTGATTATTATGGCGCAAGGCCAAAAAAGATAGATTGTATTGCGTCAATCCTCCTAGTCGTAAAAGCCAATATGTCTCATTTCATGTGTCAAAATAGGCAATGTTATGTAGCAAATAGCGTCGTTAGTTTAACACACAAAAAATCGGAACTATGGAGGACGTTCCGTTCGCTCGAATCCCAATTTCCGAAGCGTTTGAACAGTGTGAGTAGCAGTATATGCGAGCAAATTGTCATGGAAAACAAATCACTATTCGACAAAAGACATGCGTTGTGCTTCCAATTGCAGACTTCAGCTTGTCCCCGGTATCACACTATAATGTATGTTATTTACTGTTGCGCCTACATAATGTTCTTTGTGCATACCTAAATAAAAACAAAAAAGTATGAGTTTTCCTGCGAATGGTTGACTTCTGAATTTTCTTTGGGTTGATGATTGCGGATGCTTCCATTCCATACTTTTGCGTATTCTCCTCGGCTTGGCTGGTGAACTCGGGTTCCATCTCCAATTATTCCTTTCAAGAAACCATCGTCATCCCAATGATAGCGAAGCAATTAAGAGTGGACAGATTTTTAAACGTCTTTTTTTATCAGTTCACCCCAAGCAAGGCACACTTTATGAAATCCAAACCCGAGTGTAGATGATTTCATACGCAGAACGATTGTTACTCGACGTAGATTTGTCATATCATTCATAGAATTCCGCTTTTCGTTAGAACCTTTGTGCAGATTTATTCAATGCTCTCGTCAGTAGTGTCTGTTGATAGGTGTTGATGTCCACCGGACCGAAGTTTTACATCCGTGTGTATCTGTGTATTTAACGGATTTGATTTTTACGGTTTATCAACCCCTTATTGGTTATTTTAAGCCGGGATATTTCGTATTGTTGAATGACCCGGAAACCCAATCCTAAACAGGAAACAATAGCTAAAACTTTACTCCTGTTCCGAAGATCGGTGGAGGGCGAATGTGTGTGTGTGTGTGTATGTATATATATATATATATATATATATATATATATATATATATATATATATATATATATTTTTTTTTTTTTTTTACGGCTTATCAATCCCTTTGTGGTTTATTTAAAGTTGAAATACATTTTGGATTGCTTACATTAGCCGGTGTTTCCAAGCGCTCATTTCATCTAAGTACGGGCTCAAGATTGCTTAACTTCGATGATCGAACGAAGTCCGACGGTATGTCCCGAAAGTAAGTTATAACTGTTAGTATACAGGTAAAATATTGTGCATATGTTAGCAGCTGAAGTAAATTCATTTT